TTTCCCTGTCATTTGAAATGCCCTGATGAATTCAGGCTAGGTGCATGACTGTACCCTGTCTAGGTTTGCCATAGCTTTCCTCCCAAGGAGCAAGCGTCTTTTAATTTCATGGCTGCAGTCTCCGTCTGCGGTGGTCTTGGAGCCCAAATAAATGAAGTCTGTTACTGCTTCCATTTCTACCCCTTCTATTTGCCAGGAATTGATGGGTCCAGATGCCATGACCTTAGTTTTTTTAAATGTTGAGTTTCAAGCCAGCTTTTGCACTCTCCTCTTTCACCCTCATCAAGAGGCTCTTTAGTTCTTTTTCCCTTTCTGCCATTACCAAAGGTAGAGAGGCCTCCAAAAACACTGTTTTGAAGGCATGCAGAACAGATTTGAGGCTTTCATGGGAACAACCGATTAGCTCTTCCCCTCTCCGTATGAACAGAATTATGCCAGAGATCAAAATACAACTTGAAATTAAGCCTCCTCATCTTTCCTGGCTAATTTCCTTCTATGTTGTGATAAAACACTCTCTCACATTTCATGGCTTGGGTGCTTGTATATGCAAATATCTATGATGTGATTCTTCCAAGAAGACCTACGTTTATGCCGGAAGAGCCTGCTGGATGAGGCCAAATGTTGATCTAAGCCAGCATTTTGCTTCTGACAGGGGCTAGTGACAAGAGGTGGCCAGAATCAGTGAAAATCCTCAAAGCGCCATTCCTATGAAATGGGGAGTGAGGTGGATCCCTCGGGGCTCAGGCGTTGCCTCATGTCCACTGATGTGAAACTCATGACACAATTCATGTTAACAAGCAGAGTTCCCCTAATGTCAAGCGCATCACTCGGTTGCACTCGCAAGCCTCAGTTTCCCCTGAGCGGCTTGCAAAGTGAGACAGATTAAAACTTGCCTTTGAATTAACATTTGTTGAAAGAATAACTTAACAGCCCGGGTGCCAGGAGTGGGTGCTAAATTTTGCTATTTACATCTCTTGCAAAAACAGGCTTCTCTTTCTCTCCCTCTCTCTCACACGGACACACACATTCACACATTCCCGCTCTCTCTCACTCACTCACTCACTCACTCACTCACATGCTCCATTGTGATACACTGAAACATATTAGGGTGAGGCCTCATAGATTGCCACGACTGAGAGCCACTCACTGATGGGATCACAGAACTGTAGAGTTGGAAGGGACCCCCAAGGCCCATCTAGCCCAACCCTGTCCAATCCTGCAATGGGTGGGAAAACTAGGAGAGGTGATTGTGCAGCCTCTGGACAAAAGCCTCCAGAGATAAAGACCCCACAACCTTTGTAGATTGCTCCACTGTTCCATACATCTAACCATCAGGAACTTTCCCTTATATTTTAAAAAAATCAAGATAGCTGCAACTAAGAGCCATCCTTTCTGGTTTTAGTTCCGGTGACCTGGGATAATAGTTTTGACCACCATGTTCCTTTTATGTACTCGATCATGGCTATCATATCTCTCCACAGTCTTCTCTTTTTCAGACTGAGCCTCTTCTTGTGGCAATGAATTCCGTCAGTTAGTTATCCCCAGTCTAGATGACCTCCAGAGGTGTGGAGTTCTGGAACTCCCAGAATTCCCAACTGTGGTCATTGTTGGGAATTCTGGGAGATGTTCCACACATCTGAAGAAAGCCCATGATGAGGTGGCTGGTCTAGTGCAGTGTTTCTCAACCTCGCCAATTTCAAGATGTGTGGACTCCAACTCCCAGAATTCCCCCCCCCCACTCCTGGCGGGGGGATCTGTTGGGTGGGGTGATGACACCTTTTATTTTTTTTGGATTTA